TTAATATCTGCAATAGTCTTTTCAAGTGGTCACCAGGGGTCATAATGACATCAGGTGACTGGCAGGAGGGCAGCCCTGAACACCTGTCAAATTTCACCTGCAGGGGATGAGGGAAGGAAGGATCCGACCAGCCAATCAGATCCCCAGCCCTGGTCCAGGGCTTCACTGGAATCCTTTGCCAAAGTTGCTATTTCAGGTAAAACACACACAGGGTGTCTGCTGGCCACTAATATTCGGGATCAAAAGAAAAGTCAGGATAACCAGCTGCCAGTTTTACAGTGGTACCTCGGGTTATAGATGCTTCAGGTTACATACGCTTCAGGTTACAGACTCCGCTAACCCAGAAATAGTACCTCGGGTTAAGAACTTTGCTTCAGGATGAGAACAGAAATCGTACTCCGGCAGTGCAGCGGCAGCAAGAGGCCCCATTAGCTAAAGTGGTGCTTCAGGTTAAGAACAGTTTCAGGTTAAGAACGGACCTCCAGAACGAATTAAGTTCTTAACCCGAGGTACCACTGTACTTGCAAGATGTGCATTAAATGCAACGCTGAATTAAAACGATACAGGTGCAATTAACAAAAACCTCTCTCACAAATAGGTAAAGGCATAGCTGTCAACTTTTCCCTTTTCTTGCGAGGAATCCTATTCAGAATAAGGGAATTTCCCTTAAAAAAGGGGAAACGTTGACAGCTATGGGTAAAGGTAAAGGGCCCCTGGACAGTTAAGTCCAGTCAAAGGCTGGGACTATGGGGTTGCGGCGCTCATCTCGCTTTCAGGCCAAGGGAGACAGCGTCTGTCCGCAGATAGCTTTCCGAGTCATGTGGCCAGCAGGACTAAACTGTTTCTGGCACAACGGAAGACCGTGACAGAAACCAGAGCGCATGGAAACGCCGTTTACCTTCCCGCCACAGCGGTACCTATTTATCTACTTGCACTGGTGTGCTTTCGAACTGCTAGGTTGGCAGGAGCTGGGACAGAGCAACGGGAGCTGACCCCGTCGCAGGGATTCGAACTGCCGACCTTCTGATCGGCAAGCCCAAGAGGCTCGGTGGTTTAGATCACACAGAGCCTGTGTTCACCCAACAGAAGCCATGCTTTGTGCCTAGAAGTGGCATGGTGTGGCCTGGACTGGGGGTCCCTCATTGGTCAAGTGCCTATTTGCTCGCTTTGAGCCTCGGAGTAAGACCAGGTGATTTCTATTTCTCTAATGTTTCTACGTTGCAAATAAACAAGGCCATCAGGAGGCAGTCCTGGGGAGAAGAGTCCGTCTGGCCCATTCCTGTCTTCCTGAGCAAGTGTCGGGAGAGGACTCTGCCGCAATTCCCTTCTCCAGCAGCAACAGCCGCTTCACCTTTCCACTGGTGATTTTTGAAAAGTACCAGATGTTCCCCCTGTAGCTCCTTATTGGCTCTAATCTCTTTTTATTCTTTGATCCTAACCCCACTTAAAAGAAACCCCCTATTTAGGTCCTCTTGGGTGGTCCTCACGGACAGCTTCGTTAATTCCAACCCCCCTTGTTACAGCTTTCCCAACGCACCAGCCGGCCTGTTTTGAGCAACCAAAGTTAACCCTAGCCTACCAAAACAATAATTTCTGTTTTTTTGCAGGGAGAAGGGCAGGGCTGCTTGGGCTGCCGCCTAATTCCTCTTGCGGATAACCTGAGTTTGGTGGGTATTCGGCTGGGAGTCGGCTAGGAGCAAGAAGAGCGCAGGCCGAGGTGAATATTTTCCCAAGCAGAGCCGAAAAACACACCAACAGCGGTTGGGGACGCTCCCAAAAGTGTTTGTTGAAAATGGAGTCATTTCAGCTCAACCATAATAATGTTACAAAAGTCAGGGGCCAACCCCATTCTCTGCAAGAGTCTGGGGTACCAGGTCGTAGTTTTAAGAAATATGGCTAATAATAATAATAATAATATATTTATACCCCATCCATCTGACTGGGTTTCCTCAGCCACTCTTGGCAGCTCCCAACAGATTAAAAACAGAATAAAACGTCAAATATTAAAAACTTCCCTAAACACCTATTTACACCTTCAGCCTGCATGGAGGGAGTCCAGATCTTACATCATGGTCAGTTCAAGAGGGGCTTCCCCTCCACAGCAGCGCAGCCAGCCTTCAGCCAGCCTGCCCAAGATGGATCCCAGTCTCTCTTCTTCCTTCTTCTTCCCAGAACACCCAGCTAAAAACTCTGTTTTCCTGTCACCTCACACCCAGTTACCCTGACAGGGCCAGCACGTAGCCTGGCTAGAAGCACGAACATCCTCAAAATATCGTCAAAATGGAGATTGTAGAATTGGAAAAGCTGGGGAACATGGTATTATATCTTTGTTTTCCTAAGTTGTTATGAAAGTGTTAATGTTTTGCTATGTTTTACGCAAAAAATAATAATAGTTTCTTTGTTCTAAGCCATTTTGGGCACGATTTATTTGTGAGAAAGCAGCATACCATTAAACCGAATAAATGAATGAATGAATGAATGAATGAGAGAATGGGTACCAAAACGATCAAAGAGATGGAGCAACTCCTTTATGAAGAAAGGTTACAGCGCTTTGGATTTTGTAGTTTAGAGATCTTTACTGTTTTGAACTTCCCTGTGTTATTATCTTCCTTAGTGGGTTGTGCAAACAGCTATCCCGAATAACGCTTTCCATGGCGTAGCATCCACTGGAGATGAGTTTGTGGGACCAAGGAGGCGATGGCCCAAAAAACTTTGGGAACCACATGACCAGAGAGAAAACCAGGAAGCAGGTATTGGTGAAGAGGGAGCTCCATAGAGGAGTGCGATTCCTAGAGAGATTATTTCCCCCGCCGGGTCTCCAAAATGAGCCTTGCACTGGGATTTTGACCTCCGGGTCTTGCCAGCCTCCACACCCAACGCCCTGACCCACCTCCCAGCCTGGCGATGCAATAAATCCATTGTACTTGGTTCTACCTCCCCCCAGCCATTGTTCCTTCTTCCGTTTATTTACTGAAGAATATTCATATTCCGTAAATCCCCGGCTATTTATCCCCCTTGATTATTTTGGCACAGCGAGCTCGGAGGATATTTGCTTTGCTTCACAACGAGCCCTTCTCTTCCTTGCAAAAACAAAAGGCGGCCGGGGTATTTGTTAATGTAGGTCCGTTCTCCTCAAATATTTATACGGATTCATATGAAGAAGATTAAACGCTCGCAATGTTCGAGGAGCACACACACAAAGAGATGTGCGTGCATACACTCACACACCGTTGCAGGCAGAGGCACATGTTTGACCCAGAAGGGAGACTCTTGAGATTTGCCTTAGCAAATGTGTTGAGTTTGGACACACACACCAAAAAAAGAGGGGGGGAGAGAATGAAATGAGAGAAAGAAACTCTTGCCCTTTGGTGAACTCTCTTTGTGTTGCGGACGCCAAAAATTTCATTTCAGCATGACCTTAGAATAGTGATACTTTTAGCATTTCCTGGTATTTGGAGGGAAGGAATGTTTTTATTTGAATGCAGATGTCATTTGGTTTATAAGAAGGATTTGGTAACATGTCGATGCCAGTTCTACACTTATCCCAAATTTCCTGAGACGGAAGGGGAACATATGTTAGATCTCCCTGTTCGATGGGGAGGGAGCGAGAGAGAGAGAGAGAGGGAGATCTAGCTCTGCAGAAGCCTCCACTCTAAACATTGTGACTTTGTACAATTTACAAAATGTTTCATCTCCATTAAACAATAAACCCCTTGACCCGGGTGGCTGCGTTTCAGGGATGCTGCGCTGGGAGAGGGGAGAGGCGTAATGGGTGAGGAGGATAAATGGAGAGGGTCGAAAGGTTAAGGAAAACTGTTTAATTATTTCTCCGGCGCATGGGCCAGGGGGAGGCTGGCCGTGCATGCCTGGTGCCCCCCTCTTCCTCTCCTCTCTCCTCCCACCCCCTTCTCCCCCTCGTAGGGTGGCTGAGTGGAAGGAATCCATCCAGCAAAGGCGGGAAGCAGGTTGCTCACCAAAGCGCCCAGCTGTGTTTATGAACAAACAGTCTCTGGGCTCTCTTCCGTCTCGGAACCTCTCGGTTCCCTGGGCTCCCCACTCTCTGCCAGGGAAGGATCGGTGCCAACCCAACGGCATCTGTTTGGCACAAATAAAGAAGCCTAAAAGAATGGAGGGGGGGAGAGAAGGGAAAAAAGAAAGCCTTTTGATTCGTGACCCTGAGAAAAAGCTGCTGCTCTCGTTCGGGATGTTTGGGTGTTTCGGAGCCGCTGGTGTTTGCGAAAAGGAAACCTGTGGCCACATGTTGCTGGTTCAACATGCATGCTCCTCAGCAAGAGGCTGGGTGTCCACATCTGGGCAGTGGCAACAACAGCGGACCTCTCCTCTGATCCTCTCTGCTATTGAAGGAAGAGAGAGGAGGAAGAGGAGGAGGAGGAGCATAGCTGTCAACCGTCCCTTATTTGGCAGGAAAGTCCCTTATCCCAGCGCCGTGTCCCGCTGCTGTCCCTTATTGATGATGTCCCTTAAATTTCCCGGGTTTCAAAGGAAGCAGCTCGTCCCCCTCCCTCCCTGCCGGCCAGGGAGGAGGGAGGCTCCAACTGTGTTGCTTGGCTGCGTTGTTCACCCAATAAGGAGTCTAAGAACGACTGGGGGGTGGAGCTTGCATGCCTTGTGCCGATCCAATCGGCCGCGTTGCCTAGGGACTCGCCTTTGCTCAGCACTTCCCAGCAGAGAGGTGACGGTGGTTTTCCTTGCTGCATCCCCTTATCCGGGTTGCTGCGCTGTGGGAACCACCACTTGAGGCTTCGTTTGGCTGCTGGCTGGGCTTTCTGCCTTTGGCTTGGAGGGGCTCAGAAGTCGAACATACCTGTGCTTGGAAAATCCCTTATTTTGGCTGCTGATCCCTTATTTTTGAGGCTGCTGGTCCCTTATTTTCAAATCTGTAAGTTGACAGCTATGAGGAGGAGAGAATCATAGAATTGTAGAACTGGAAGGGACCACAAGAGTCATCTAGCCCACCCCCCCGAAATGCAGGAATCTTTTGGCCAATGCGGGGCTCAAACCCATAAACCTGAGATTGAGAGCCTCATGGTCTACTGACTGAGCTATCGCAGCTGGATTAATAATAATAATAATAATAATAAATTATTTATATCCCGCCCTCCCCAGCCGAAGCCAGGCTCAGAACGGCTGACAACAGTAAAAGTAACACAGTTTACATAAAACCACAATCAATTAATTGAAATACCTTTTAAAATCAATTCATTCTAAAATAAATTCAGAATCAAATCAATGGCAACCATTGGGCTAGAGTTCTGGAGGATTGCCAAAGGAGGGGGTCAGACTGTGCCTTGGCCAAAGGCCAGGCGGAACAGCTCTGTCTTGCAGGCCCTGTGGAAAGATGTCAAGTCCCGCAGGGCCCTGGTCTCTTGCGACAGAGCGTTCCACCAGATCGGGGCCACGGCTGAAAAAGCCCTGGGTCTGGTTGAGGCCCTGTGGCCCGGGACCTCCAAGATGTTTTTGTTTGAAGACCGTAAGGTCCTCCGTGGGACTACCAGGAGAGGTGGTCCTGTAGGTACGGGGGTCCTAGGCCGTATGGGGCTTTAAAGGTTAAAACCAGCACTGGAACGGATCCCGTTTGCAACCAGAGGTACCACTGTTTGTTGGAAGCAGCCCAGAGTGGCTGGAGCAACCCAGTCAGATGGGCAGGGTATAAATAATAAAATTATTGTTATTGCTGCTGCTGCTGCTGCTGCTGCTGCTGCTGCTGCTGCTGCGGCTGTTAAATAGGATGGCCCTATATAGAGAATAGTGTATAACCTTTTGGGGCTTTTTGAAAATTATTATTTTTTAAATAAAATAAATGGAATGGGTAAACAGCATGATGTGTGGCAGGTCTTAGGAACACAGGACTTTTCCGTCTGATCTAGCACCCTCTCTTCCATAGTAGCCAAATTAACTCCTCTGGGTGGCCCACAAGCAGAGAGACCATCAGGGCAAAAGCCCTGTCTCACTGGAAGAGCCTCTGCTGCTGAAGAGTAGCATTTGTTCTACTGCTCTCTTTGGAATGGAAAGCACATGTTCTCTGCCCTGCCATTTTGGGATTTCTGCAGAACTGAAACGCCATCCCAAACACATTAGCCCTTCTACAGAAAACCATTGTCAGGGTGACCCAGAAACCCACAAGACTGGCAGGAGCAGGGACATTATTTTCATTTTTCGAAGCATCCGTGTGGTCCATCTTTTCCCCATTATTAATCTTTTGAGGAATCGTTTCTCCTTCTTTCACACTCCTTCATCCTTAAAGCGTGGGATTATAGCCACCATATTATACAGCAAACTACTAAGGAGCTGCCCTAGAAAATGTTGCATAAATGGTATTTGACACCAAGGAAGTTGTCCTTGAGAAACCTTAATCTTTCCCCTATGTTTTGGGGGGACCCGAAGCTTGAACTATTATGGGGGTCTCTCAACAACCAGCAACGAAGTCTAAATAACCACTGTTATCTTCTTCAGTTGTTCCTTGACAGATCACCACAAATTTTCCATGAGATTGCATTTTTGGGTATCAGTTTTAAGGTACTTTCATGAACACAGTGTTATTCCTCGGGGGGGGGGGGTGCATTAGCCGCAGCAGAGCAGCCAACTTACTGCAATACTCCACCTTCAAAATTTTGGAGTAGCTGAAATACATAGAACAAAAATTAATCAATTGGAGTCGCACTTAAGCAATGTGGCCTAAAGTTGTTTCTGGGGCCTCTCTAAGATTAGGAGCCCTAAAGCTTAAGCTTCATCAGATTTAAAGTAGATCTGCCCTTGCTTTCCCTTGTATGTTAGAGAAGGTGTGGTATGATCCATACAAACATCCACATGTGATGGAGTTGGAAGTAGAATATGCCAGATCTGTGACACCTCTGGTCAACAGATGCATCCATCCCTGATTTTGGTTCTCCTGAATGTTGTCTCAGGTAGAATCATAGAATCCTAGAGTTGGAAGAGACCACAAGGGCCATCGAGTCCAACCCCCTGCCAAGCAGGAAACACCATCAGAGCACTCCTGACATATGGTTGTCAAGCCTCTGCTTAAAGACCTCCAAAGAAGGAGACTCCACCACACTCCTTGGCAGCAAATTCCACTGTCAAACAGCTCTTACTGTCAGGAAGTTCTTCCTAATGTTTAGGTGGAGTCTTCTTTCTTGTAGTTTGGATCCATTGCTCCGTGTCCTCTTCTCTGGAGCAGCAGAAAACAACCTTTCTCCCTCCTCTATGTGACATCCTTTTATATATTTGAACATGGCTATCATATCACCCCTTAACCTCCTCTTCTCCAGGCTAAACATGCCCAGCTCCCTTAGCCGTTCCTCATAAGGCATCGTTTCCAGGCCTTGGACCATTTTGGTTGCCCTCCTCTGGACACGTTCCAGTTTGTCAGTGTCCTTCTTGAACTGTGGTGCCCAGAACTGGACACAGTACTCCAGGTGAGGTCTGACCAGAGCAGAATACAGTGGCACTATTACTTCCCTTGATCTAGATGCTATACTCCTATTGATGAGGCCCAGAATTGCATTGGCTTTTTTAGCTGCCGCGTCACACTGTTGGCTCATGTCAAGTTTGTGGTCAACCAAGACTCCTAGATCCTTTTCACATGTACTGCTCTCAAGCCAGGTGTCCCCCATCTTGTATTTGTGCCTCTCAGTTTTTTTGCCCAAGTGCAATACTTTACATTTCTCCCTCTTAAAATTCATCTTGTTTGTTTTGGCCCAGTTCTCTAATCTGTCAAGGTCGTTTTGAAGTGTGATCCTGTCCTCTGGGGTGTTAGCCACCCCTCCCAGTTTGGTGTCATCTGCAAATTTGATCAGGATGCCCTTGAGTCCATCATCCAAGTCGTTGATAAAGATGTTGAATAAGACCGGGCCCAAGACAGAACCCTGTGGCACCCACTAGTCACTCTTCTCCAGGATGAAGAGGAACCATTGATGAGCACCCTTTGGGTTCGGTCAGTCAGCCAGTTACAAATCCACTGAGTGGTAGCATAGTCAAGACCGCATTTTACCAGCTTCTTTACAAGAATATCATGGGGCACCTTGTCAAATGCCTTGCTGAAATCAAGGTAGGCTACATCTACTGCGTAGAAATCCAGATCTTAGTCATAAAGAACTGCTGAGCCTCTCAAGCAGTGGTAGCTCATAGAATCATGGAACTGTAGAGTTGGAAAGACTCAACATAACACCGGTCATGAAAGATCTACATTGGCTCCCAGTACGTTTCTGAGCACAATTCAAAGTGTTAATGCTGACCTTTAAAGCCCTAAATGGCCTCGGCCCAATATACCTGAAGGAGTGTCTCCACCCCCATCATTCAGCCCGGACACTGAGGTCCAGCGCCGAGGGCCTTCTGGCGGTTCCCTCACTGTGAGAAGCAAAGCTACAGGGAACCAGGCAGAGGGCCTTCTCGGTAGTGGCGCCCTCCCTGTGGAACGCCCTCCCACCAGATGCCAAAGAGAACAACAGCTACCAACAGCTAGCAGTCCTGTTTAGGGAAGCTTTCCCAAAAACTTCCCTGCAACCCAAAAACATGTAACGTGAAGTGTCCGTAACATGAGGTATGACTGTATTTTATATAAACTAGACCATTCAGTAATCCATTATTACATCCATCAAAACTTATTTACACTGTTGAGTTTCTCTTAATGTTGCGCATGTTTTCAAATGTACACAATTTCCTCCCATTTTTTCAATAAACATATTCCAGTCTTCTTTAAACGTATGTTCTTCTTCTTCTCTTATTCTTTGAGTTAGGTCCACAAACTGCACATATTCCATCAGTTTAAGTTGCCGCTCTTCTTTGGTTGGGACCTCGCTTGTTTTCCATTTTGGGTCTACAGTAGCGGCATACATAAATAACCTTTTTGACACCTGGTGATTTCCATCTGAATTATCCCCAACAGAAAGGACTCTGGGTTTGGGTGGGGGAGAAGTGCTTTTAATCATTTTTTTTCAATGCATTATAAATTATTTCCCAATACTCTTTTACCCTTTTACAGGTCCACCGCATATGAAAGAACGTCACATATCTCTCCATCCATATGGTTACCTTGAACATTGACAAAACTTTGGGGCATGGAGCAGGGAGAAAGAAGTGTTTATGCAAGACACCAGACTCCCTCCATTTTGGCTCAGCACTGCCACAGACAGACTTTAATGCCATTTCTCCTGTGTGGCCACGTAAGCTTGGAGCGAGCGAGTGGGAACGGCGGGGACTCGCGATTCCAGGACAACATGTCTGCGGACAGATGAGAAATCCATGCTCGGCGCACACCCACTAAGACTTGGCCACTAGCAAACAAGAGCAATCCCCTTACACGGCAGAAGGAAGGCACAACTCCAAGGAAGTCTACTTTTTTATATATATATAAAAAAACCTGCTCCTGGATGAGCTTTGTATCTGCACAGAAGTGTACAGAGCCTGCCTGGAAACAGTTTAAGGGTTTGACAGCCTCAGTGCTGGATAATAATAATTATTATTATTATTTATTATTTATACCCCGCCCATCTGGCTGAGTTTCCCCAACCACTCTGGATGGCTTCCAATCAAGTGTTTAAAACAATACAGCATTAAATATTAAAAACTTCCCTAAACAGGGCTGCCTTCAGATGTCTTTTAAAGAGAAGATAGCTGCTTATTTCCTTCACATCTGAAGGGAGGGCGTTCCACAGGGCGGGTGCCACTACCGAGAAGGCCCTCTGCCTGGTTCCCTGTAACTTGGCTTCTCGCAGGGAGGGAACCGCCAGAAGGCCCTCGGAGCTGGACCTCAGCGTCCGGGCTGAATGATGGGGGTGGAGACGCTCCTTCAGATATACTGGACCGAGGCCGTTTAGGGCTTTAAAGGTCAGCACCAACACTTTGAATTGTGCTCGGAAATGTACTGGGAGTCAATGTAGGTTTTTCAAGACCGGTGTTATGTGGTCCTGGCAGCTGCTCCCAGTCACCAGTCTAGCTGCCGCATTCTGGATTAGTTGCAGTTTCCGGGTCACCTTCAAAGGTAGCCCCACATAGAGCGCATTGCAGTAGTCCAAGTGGGAGATAACCAGAGCATGCACCACTCTGGCCAGACAG